AATCAGCCTTTACTAGTATTAGCAACTATTACAGCACCTAGTAAAAACAGAAAAATCAAAGTACAGACCAGAGACTAGACATTAATAAAAAGGATATTAAATAGAGTAATAATTGATCCTAAATGGATATCAGTGTTACAGCAGCCACATGACAAGAATGAAATGCAAAAACAATGAGGTTGTTGCAAGAAAAATACAATTAACAGGTAAATTATACAAAATAGCTAAATAGACTAAATATATTCTAAATTTTATATATATAATAAAAATAGAAACACTATAATATACTTTTTCCAAAATATACAGTATAATACAGTACAAAATGTACAGCAGTTAATGACTGCATTAAATATATAAAATATAAAATGTGCTTATTAAAGTGACCTTTTACATTTTTAATATATATTTTCATAATTTTAGGAATTATGTACGACATAATTTTAAAATAAACATTTTTTCATCTTACATAGTCCCTGTAGTAATTAAAAATACCCCATTTGAGTACTGTGATAATACACTGTACATTGGTGCAAGTCAGGTGGATAAACCAGCGGAATAAATACGCAGTAGTGAGAAAAGATGTCAGGTCAATAATGAAAAAACTAGTGACATGTACAGATGTTATTCTTACAAATAATTTTTTTATTTTTGTTCACTGTCACTCAGAAGACCAATAAACATCCCTAGTGTTTACATACATTAATGTTATAATTAAAACACAAAATAAAACTGGGATTCAACCAGCACTGCAACCAGAACTGGTACGGGCAAAGAAACAAAATAAATTACCTCAAACCACAACTGCAAAAAAATAGAGGAAACACTCAATACTTTTCTATGCTTGGTTATTGTAACAATAACAACATTACAACAAGTATTTAGGAATATGATTCTTTAATATAGCAGGAGAGAGAGCAGGAGAGAGAGCAGGAGAGAGGCAGTGTCCCAACCCTGACAGTCAGTGTCAGCACACAGACTGACACATTTGAACCTGATAGAGAAGATAGAGACAATAAGCAATACATTAGCACAGGCACTTTGAGAGATGACATACTTACCAACAAAATAATGAACAATGACCACTCTGGTGAACAAGAAATGTCTTAGTTACATTACGTATAATCACATGTACTCATACATTTCCTCTCCAAAACTGTTTGCTATTCATGCAGTCTCAAATTATTCAAAGTTAAGTTCATAAACTACTTCTTTGTTTACATCTGGTTGTACTCATAATGCCGAGTGACCCATTTCAAATTATTGAATTATATTATTTTATTACAATTATTAATGAATTAATATGTACATCACTTTAATGTTGGTGGTGAAGGTGCAGCTAATTTTAACTACTTTATATATGCTACTACTGGGTGGCTTGTAAATTCCACCCCAGAAATGAATTACTACTACTACTACTACTAATAATAATAATACATCATAATGATATTTTGTATTATTAATCTGAATCTGTAAAGTAACTAGTAACTAAAGCTCTAAGATAAACATAGTGGAGTAAAAAGTACATCATATCTGTCTGAAATGTAGATGAGTAGAAATATAAAGTAGCATGAAATGGAAATACTAAAGTAGATTACAATTACATCCAAACTGCCCTCAACAGTACTTTAGCACGTCTACCTTTCACCTTTGTATATTACAAGTTGAATATATGATGTATTATTAAGTGAATCATTTCTGTCAGATTCCTGAATATGCCCACTGTGTATGGATGATCTCACTCAAGTTATTGAGAATTAACCTGGATAAATGTCTGTCTATAACAGAGGTGTCAAACTTCCGGCCCGCGTGATGTGTGAAAATTACAGAGAAGAGTCAGAAGAAGAGTTGCGAACATAGCACAATGCTTTATTAAACTTTATTCACGACAACTGTAACTCACACTGTACATTTACTGCTAGACCTGATAGCTTACTTCTCTGCTCTGCTGCCGTTCACCGCCGCTCTCTCCCGCTCGCTCTTTATGTATACATTTTATACATTTATAAGGATAGGATAAGTAGAATAACTTGCTGCAGTGAGTCAGTTCAGGTGGTCAGGATTACTGCACAGATGTGAAAATGTATGTTTTAATTTAAAATAATTTAATAATAATTTATAGATCTTGACAAGTTGTTTTAATTATTATTAACTGTAAGAGAAAGTTACCCTGATATTATTGTTCAGTTCCAGGTACATGTTACTTAATGTTCTGTGGCTTTGTAGATCCACATCCACTGATCTTTAAATTGTAAAGCACATGTGTAAATGAAATTAATATAATATATTGTTGAAATTACACTTATTTTAAGAAAATTCAGGTTGTTCATAATGTTTTGTGAAAAGAAGGTTTATTAAATGTGAACATTTTCAGAATTTATTACTATTTCTTTGCAATAAAACGAAGAGAACAATTAGGGGTTGTTGCTATTTACAGGTAATTATGCCTTAATTTTACTGGTCCGGCCCACTTAAGGTCAAATTGGGTTGTGTGTGGCCCCTGAAACAAAATGAGTTTGACACCCCTGGTCTATATCCAACACCAAACTGTCTATATCACAGTGTTTAGACTGCGGTGTGCCAAATGTTGGCTTCATAATGTGCAGCGCAACGCGATGTAAACAAACAAACATGTGGCACACGGTCCTGTCAAACCTCTCATACATGTTTGGTATCAGACTGGCTCGTCCACCAGAAACATGCAACCTAGTCAGTTAAGTTATGTGAACCCGCGAACAACTTTGGTTCTGTTGTTGCGAGCTAACAGCTATTAGCATCTGTACTAGCTAGGTTTAGCAAACACAACTGTATGTAAACAAACTGCACTCTGAAATGTTGTTCGCACTGTACACTGTCATACTCCTGTCTATGGCCAACAGCAGGTGGTTTAGCTCACTGAACAAGGTTAACATTGTGGCACTAAGCTAGCTTGACTTACCAGCTATTGATAGGATGCTCCAGGGTTTCTGCTCGGACATCTCTCAATGACAGCATCGCCACCTCCAAACATCCACTTCCTGGCATAACATGCTGAAACTTCGCACCATGGTGATGCAGAAATGACCCCCAACATGGTCCAGTGCAGCCTCCTGACAGCATGTTGACTCAGATACGGTTGGCATTGCCCTGCAGCGTCCGCACAGACACCAGGTAGTGTTGCCGATCCTCTCCTCACCCCACTGCACCGGCTCCACTACATCTGCAACCCGTACCACTGCACCACTTCGTCTGCAACCCGTACCACAGCACCAGCTCCGCTTCGTCTGCAACCCGTACCACTGCACCACTTCGTCTGCAACCCGTACCACTGCACCACTACGTCTGCAACCCGTACCACTGCACCACTACGTCTGCAACCCGTACCACTGCACCAGCTCCGCTACGTCTGCAACCCGTACCACTGCACCACTACGTCTGCAACCCGTACCACTGCACCAGCTCCGCTTCGTCTGCAACCCGTACCACTGCACCACTGCGTCTGCAACCCGTACCACTGCACCAGCTCCACTACGTCTGCAACCCGTACCACTGCACCACTACGTCTGCAACCCGTACCGCTGCACCACTACGTCTGCAACCCGTACCGCTGCACCACTACGTCTGCAACCCGTACCGCTGCACCACTACGTCTGCAACCCGTACCACTGCTCTTGCCCCACGTCACATAGGCTCGAAAGCGTATGCCAGCGGACTCACAACATCAGCAACTCTCTCCACCTCGTCATCGTCCATTTTCAAACCAGCGTACCCACCCTGCTACGTAGGCAATGACGTCACTCCAAATGGCGACTAATAAACTCATTATGCAGAATAATACCTTTTATTACATTGTTTATTACTTTATTATTATAACTGGTAAAAGTGCAGCTCACTTAATTAAAAATAAAACAAAAAAATATACAATAAAAGAATAAAATACAGTAAAATATAATAAAATAGAAAATATACTATATACAATAAAATGCTGTTACTAATGTATTTTAAATTAAAAGAGGAGAATTTTTTCAAGAAGACTTTCAAAATGAAAATAATTTCTATGTGTGTATTTTGGTTTTTGTGCAACAAGAGGACATTTGATATGAAGACACACCAACACTAGGTGGACATTTTGTATTAACAGGACAGGGTCAGTGTCCCATTAATTCTTTACACGTAGAAGTGTTTCTACAGAGCTAGAGAGCTCAAATCCAAACAATCATCAATTATCCAAGTTCTTCTTGTTTTACCTGCATTTTTATTATTTATTCTAGTGGTTCTTTATTCTAGTGATAAAATACAATAAAAGAATAAAATACAGTAAAATATAATCACATATAAAATATTTACACTATATACAATAAAGTAGAAGTACTGTACCTGTAAATGTATTTTAAATTCGAGGAGGAGAATTCAGAGAGAAGATTTTCAAAATAAAAACAATTTCTGTGTGTGTGTGTTTTGGTTCCAGTCAATGTTGACAATGGAGGCGTACTGGTACAACTCCAAACTCAGCTACACACTGCATTGAGCAATGATTGTTAGACTTTCCACATTTGAACCACATATTTTTTTGTAGAAGCCATCAATACATCCAAATGTGGAAAAGGTTTCCTAAATGTTCCTAAACTTTGGTAAAATTGGAACAATTTGGACATTTGGGTTGACAATTGGATTGAATGAGCTGCCCATTCTAATTGAGGCCAAATATCAGAATATTAGGATATTCCCTTATCCTCTGACATTTGGCATCACATACAATGGGTAGGTCAGTGTTTCCAGTTGTCAACCCAAAAGTATTTTTCCATAGGTTGTCCTGCAGGACGTGGTTAGGACTGCGTTTTGGAATCTCCCGATTCTTCTAAGTGCGTTAGTCATGCAGGACCCCAGGGCCACTGACAAATGAAAACACTGACCCACCCATTCTAAGTGATGTCTATTGTCACAATATTATGAACATACACTGATGATACTCTACATGATCCAGAGGAACACACAGGGAGCTGATCTCAGAGCAGTTCAGACTGCAGCACTGAGAGTCATCTCCACTGGTTGTGATTCCTCTGTCAGTCACTGCTGGATGAAGCTCTCCTCTCCACTCTACCTCCCAGTAACATGGCCCAGTCAGAGCTGATGCTGCTGCTTCAACCTCTCTGGATCATCAGGACACAGTGGATCCTCCAACACAACCTCCTTCATCACTGCTCCCAGTTTGACTGAGATTACCACCTCCTGAGGAGAGAAGGAGACAGACAAAAGCAGTGATGATTCAGTGTTTACAGAGACTCCCTCCATCAGCACATCCAGTATAAAGAGCAGCAGGGTCTAAACACATAACTGCAGAAACAGAGACATTCACTGCCCACTGGAATGATGCATTTACTGCTGTTAGGGTTCAAAGCTGATAAAAACCACAGTCTCAGTCACATTTGAATGTTTCATCTGAACTCTTACAGGACAAATGTGTAAATATTCAAACTATTTGGACAAACAAGAGACAAATGGACAGATATATATCTGATGTTAAAGGTCCTACATGTTCATACAAAGACTGAACAGCAACACATCAGCTGTGGGTACTGGACTCCAGCAGAGGTCCTGGTCTGTACAAAGATCACATGGTCACTAAATGTAATGATGGTTGTTTGCAGGCTTCAGTCAGACTGATCTCAGAGCTGTGACAAAGACCAACTGATCAGTTGTTTAGTGTAGAAATGAGAGAACAAACAGTGTGAGATCAGACTGGATGAATGAGGACCACTGTCTCTATACATCTTGTAATGCTGTCAGCTGGAATCCAGCTTTATTTCCTGAACACATGAACACAACAACAACAGTCGTCTTCACCTCAACTCAAACACATGATCACAACAAGCTTCTGGCTCTCTGATTGGCTGACTGTTCTCTCTCTCTCTGTCTGTCTGTCTGTCTGTCTGTCTGTCTGTCTGTCTGTCCAATCCTGAAGCCTGTCCCCATTCTCCTCTCACAGCTTCACTGAGGAAAGCAGCAAATACTGGATCTGTGTTTAGTCGAAGACTGCTGGAACCAGCATGGACTGACTCAGACCCTCTACTGACCTCAGAGTCTGCAGTCTACAGTGTGGACTCTCCACAAGATCAGACAGCTGCTTCGCATCTGGATCCTGCAGGTCGTTGATACTCAGGTCCAGCTCTCTCAGATGGGAGGGGTTGGACTTCAGAGCTGAGACCAGAGAAGAACAGCTGATCTCTGACAAACTGCACCAACTCAATCTGAATAAAGAATAAAAGAGGTGAGTTTAGAAGACAATATTCCTGCTTGAATTCATTCAGTGTTTAATAATCTGTTCAGAGCTGAAGAAGGTTTAGAATGTACAAGTTTAGAAAAAGCTTTAGATTAGTGTCTATCTGGACATATCTGGGAGTCAAACACAAAGTCTCAGTGCATCAGCTGTATCTGTTCGGGAGGGAGGAGTTAATGCTAAATACTGTCTCCTCAATAGTTTTATTGCAACCTTTATTGTATTCATGTTCATTTTATACTTCATTCACTTTGTTAGTTTTTGTGTTTTTTATTCTTTTAATTCTTGTCTTGTATTTGTGGTTTTTTTTTTTCATATTTAGTGTTATTGTGTAAATGTGCCTTTAATGTGTCTTAAACACTCGGTATGTACACAGATCATGGGGGTAGAAGTAGATGGGGACAATCTGTCGTATGATCTAGTTTATTTTTATTTACTTTCATTATGATTTTATTTGTAGTGATTTTCAATATACATCTGTTATCTGTTATTAAATGTACATGTTGTGTCACTTTGAATGGAAACAATAAAAAGCACAGTTACAATAGGTCCAGTGTTGAGGTTCTTCCAGAAACCGCTTTGTTGGATTTGGGGTTCAGGTTTTCCTTTATTATTCAATCAAATAGAATAGATTTGAAACCAAAAAAGAGATTTGAGAGCAAAAAAGAGTAAGTGGCAGTCAAAACATTTTTTTTTAGATCGAAACAGAACAGGTTGCAATTGAAAAAAAATATGAGAGAACATATTTCTTCAACTTCAATCAAAACTAATGTTTGTAAGTAAAAACATACGACCATTTTGCTTATAAATCAGTCCTCTTTGCTTGCAAATTCTAAAGTTTTGCTTGCGAATTCAACTGCACTTGATGGGCGGGGCCTACGCTGGTGGATGAGAGAAGAGTTTCTATTGGTTGGTTTGACTGGCTACGTCTTTCGCATTACACCCACTTCTCCCTGTGCTGTGCTGCTTGGAGAAGCCTGTTGCTCTTGAAATGTTTCCCATAAGTAATGAATTGCGCTATATATCGTTGGCTACAGCCTGCTGTACATTCACAACAACAACAACAACAACAACAACAACAACAACAACAACACAAGTAATGAATTATAATGCCCTGCTGCTGCAAGCACACTGATTAGCAGCAACATGGTTGTCTCTGCTAGTCACAGCCTGAGCAGAGTAGCCTAATGAGTGAGTGAATTACAGGGAGGCGTATACAACGTAGGGCTGTGATTTAAACATTTAGTGTTGCATTGTACTCGCGGTGCCAAAACGTCACGGTTCCTACACAACAGTACTACCGTGGATTACTAAACTACCTCTGAACCCGGTGCCAGTTTCCACTGTGTAGCGGGCTGCCGCTACTCCTCCCGGCTCCCGTTCTCTACAGCTGTTCTAATGTCAACAAACACACGTGGCGAATAATTTAACAAATTCACACACATATTTCTAACCAGCCAGCATTACTGGTCTTTACAGGAGCAGCTGCGTCAGATGGTCCAACTTAAATGACACTGAATGATGCTTTTGACCTCAGAGATGTACAATGTGTAGAGAGAAACGCAAATTTCAGCACCACTGATCTGTATAATCAGACCAAAAGACATGTCCTGTGATTTTAATTATTCGCCACGTGTGTTTGTGGGTGTATTGCGGAAGACGTAGCCAGGTCAAACCAACCAATAGAAACTCTTCTCTCGTCCACCAGCGTAGGCCCCACCCATCAAGTGCAGTTGAAGCAAAACTTTTGAACTCGCAAGCAAAGAGGACTGATTTATAAGCAAAATGGTCGCATGTTTTTACATACAAACATTAGTTTTGATTGAAGTTGAAGAAATATGTTCTCTCATATTTTTTTTTCAATTGCAACCTGTTCTGTTTCGATCTCAAAAAAATTTTTTTTGATTGCCACTTACTCTTTTTTGCTCTCAAATCTCTTTTTTGGTTTCAAATCTATTCTATTTGATTGAATAATAAAGGAACAAAATTCTCTCCATACAAGAGCTGTTGTGATTTGTGCTCAGACAAACCCAGAAAGTAAAAGAACTGAAGGAAATTAAAAACTTCTGTTATATTTGGTAGATATACACAGAGCAAACACATGAACTGACCTCAGAGTCTCCAGTCTACAGTGTGGACTCTCCAGTCCAGCAGACAGCAGCTTCACTCCTGAATCCTGCAGCTTGTTCTTACTCAGGTCCAGCTCTCTCAGATGGGAGGGGTTGGACTTCAGAGCTGAGGCCACAACTTCACAGTGAGTCTCTGAGACTTCACAGTCAGAGAGTCTGTGAATACAGAGAATATAACCTTTAAAATAAAATCTGATTGCATTTAGATCACAAAGCAAAGAAAGACACACAGAAATCATTCAATATTCATATTTAACACAACATGTTTAAATGTAAGATGTAGCCCCTTTATGCCACAAACACATAGAATATATAGATATTACATTTAAATTAGAATAAAATAAAATAAACAATACATGCAGTTATTTACATATATAACTATAAACCCAGTAAAGTAGTTCTGCAGTGCATTTTTTGAATGTGGGTCTGGGGGGAATGTAAACAGCTACAGAAGCACATTGCCTTCACAAAAGAAAAAAACACGTAGACATGTTGTAATTATCAGTTACTATCTCGTAATTACAAGGAAAGATGTTGTGAGGATGAGATCAGGATCTTTATGAAAAAGTGGACTGGTCCCACATACTGACCACTGTTTAGCTCAGTGGTACCTGGGGACATGTTGAACAACAATCTGGTTTGAATTTTTATTGAGTTTTTAAAATATGTATATTCATATCATGCTCATTCCCCACGTGCAGTAGGAAGGCATTAATGACCAACATCAATTTACAATGTGACAGCCTCCAAATCACATACAAGGAGCTTCCTACTGCACGGACTGTTTGCTGCTCCCTATTTAAGATGGCTCCACATTGTCATGAACCATTTGCCTGATGAAGGTCTAGTACCCAAATGTTGCAAATAAAGTTAATATTGAAGGTCAGACAGTGTGCAGGTATTTATCTTTGTGTAGCCGGTCTCGCCTGACGCTCCTTTAATTTGACTCTGTGTAGTAATGGACGACAAACAATTTCTGTTTTACCAGTTGGACAGGGGGTTTATTGTACCTGTGTACGACACACATTTGGTTCCCACACGCACACCTTTAAATGAGAGGGAGAAAAGAGCCAGCGCATGAGAAACCACCTGTGTGCTCTTCATTAAGCTAGCCTGAGACAGGTGAGCTAGCATCTCACACAAAAAGTGCTGTACACAATAAAACTGTATACACATTTAAACCAAAATCTTCTTCTTCTTCTTCATCTTCATCTTCATCCGCTTATCCGAGATCGGGTTGCGGGGGTAGCAAGTTCAGCAGACCCCAAACTTCCCTTTCCCTGGGGAAGTTTGGGCCAACTCTGACTGGGGGATCCTGAGGCGTTCCCAGGCCAGTGTTGAGATATAATCTCTCCACCTGGTCCTAGGTCTGCCCCATGGCCTCCTCCCAGCTGAACGTGCCAGGAACACCTCCCTCGGGAGGCGCCCTGGAGGCATCCTCATCAGATGCCTGAACCATCTTAGCTGGCTCCTTTTTACGCAAATTTCGGCTGCTTGAACCCGGGATCTTATTCTTTCAATCATGACCCATTTCTCATGACCATAGGTGAGGGTAGGAACAAAGATCGACCAGTAGATCGAGAGTTTGGCCTTTCGGCTCAACTCTGTCTTTGTGACAACTGTTTTATATAAACCAATATCACCATAGCAAAGAACAAAACTAGCGACAGTTATAAAGTAGAGTTAGAACCTCTATTTAGCGTTTTTAACATGTTTTAAGTCACTTTGAACCAGAGCGCTCAGGTTGTCTGAGGAGAACAGTGCGAAAAACACCGCAAGTGACATCGTTAACAGGTCAAAGGTCACACCGGCAAAATACAATTAACAAAATAAAAGCTCCCCAAAATAAATACACACAAAAACAGATTTATAGTAGTAGTTAATAGTTAGTTATCAATACAAACTCAACACTTCCTGCAGCTGCTTCACAGTGAAAGTCCTCCATTATATTTACGAGAAGCGTGTCCCGAATAAGCCACAGAACATACCGTATGTGTTCAACTGAGATAAAAAGTTATTTATTCGTGCGTTGAACAACCTGTGTAATGTTACACTGTGTTGGAATAAATGAACTAAATATTCAGACTCCTTGCTGGTTGTTCTGACACATTCAGACTCATTCTGTTAGCATTTAACTGGCAGATGTTAAAATACAGTTGTATGTGAAGGTTTGATCACCTGCTGTTGAATTATATATCATTATGAAATAATATGAAACAATGTCTGAATTATACTAGAGCTGATCTAGTCCTCAAGTATAACACAACTCCACTTTTTAAATGTAATTTCCAGATAAAAACATTGTCTTATATTTGGGCCAATATAATCATAAAATGGTAATGATATAATTATATGAACTGCAGTCAGTGGTTGTTCTCTTACTGTGTGTCTGAGGGTCCAGGTTCATTACTGAAGTCTGGAAGTCTACCTTTGGACCGGTCACTCCTCATAGACAGAGAACTGGATCCCTGAGACTCTGCTCTGTCCTCCTCTTTCTCTCCTTTTTTCAAGCAGGCTCCCATTGTATGAGCTCCTCGTCCTGCAAGTTGTAAAATATATCTTGATATCTCTCAAAGAGTTTATCAAGAACAGAATACACAGTTTGAGTGTTTTTAATCTGGATTCCAGTGGGTCTATTGAAGAGCTGGAGAGATTTACTGAGGTGAGCTTTCAAAAAGCGGGTCTAATAAAATAAAAATAATAATAATAATCTCAAGGAGGCGGAGTTACAAGGTGCAAAGAAAGCATATGAACCCAAAGTTAACTAATAAACTAGAAGTTTAAGTTAAAACAAAATGAAACAACAGAAAACATTTGATAAATAATTATTAAATATTATACAAAAGTTGGTCTGTACGAGTGTGTTTTTAAAATCTTTTTAAACTGAGGCACTGACTCAGCTGACCTGATACTGAGGGCGAGATTGTTCCACAGCTTTGGAGCTAAAACAGAGAAAGTATGTTTGTTTTCAGTTTGGATCGGGGAACTTTCAACAGTATGTGATTCTCTGATCTGAGGGGTGTTGGAGCAGAGTGAGGGGGGGAAAGTTCTGAGATGTAAAGTGGAGCCAGTTCATGTAGGGATTTCAAAGTAATGAACAGAATCTTAAAGTGAGTTCAGTAATGGATGTGGAGCCACGACTGTAGTGAAGTGTTCCCTGCGTTGAGTGTTTGTGAGGAGTCTTGCTGCTGCATTCTGAACTGACTGCAGTTGGTTGACTGCTGTGTTGTTCAGGCAGTAAACAGTGAACTACAGTGTAGGCGGGACGAAATGAGGGCGTGTGACACACATAGCTACATGTGTATACTTTAATACAAGTGAGTTTGGTGAACTTCAGATGTTTAACTGAGGATGTAATCAGTGATAACCTTTTACTATTTTACTGTTAAACTACAGATTGTGTCAGGTGGAGGCTACCTGAAGTGGAAATATTGACTATAAAATCCAATAAAATAAAAGCACTGTCAGAGCGATCACTGATCTTTGGGACTTCAGTCAGTCTGAGAGATAACCAGCAACAATGAGCTCAGAGCACCAGAATGAGGAAAAACAAGTCTGTACAAGAGTCACACCCAAGACTGAGTAAAGAGGAAGTAATACACACACGCACGCACGCACGCACGCTCGCTCGCACGCTCGCTCGCACGCACGCACACACACACACACAGTATACAGTATAACAAAGCCAATCTGCTCAGTTTTCTTAAGATCTGTGCTTGTCGACTCAAAATGGAGTCTGAGCTCTGACTGACTGTCAGGTTTATTGTCCCCACCCTGTTCCTCCTCTTACTGGAATTTTCACCTGTGTTTCGTCATCATCTCATCCCTGTGCTTGAATAGCTCAAACTAAAATAGATCAACCTAATCCAGATTTCTAGTTTCAGTGTGCTGAATTGAACCTAGTTAGCTGGGATTACCCAGGACCTGATGTGGGACCGACTGCAGGTTCTGGTTAAAAGTCTGGCGGCCGCATTTTGTACTAACTGTAAATGATTAAAGGAAGCTTGACTGAGGCAGGTGTAGAGGGAGTTACAGTAATCTATACGGGAGAAAATGAAGCTGTGAATTAATTATTCAAGATCATTGGAGGACAGGAAGCTTCTGATTTTTACAATATTTCCATACTACTCAACTGCAGTGACAAAGTTTTCAGGGCCAAATAAAATGATTTCAGTTTTTTTTGGGGGGGGCTTTTATTGCCTTTATTATAGTGAGAGCTGAAGATAGACAGGAAACGGGGCAGAGAGAGGGGATGACATGCAGCAAAGGGACGCAGGTCAGATTCGAACCCTGGGCTGCTGCAGCAAGGACTCAGCCTCGGTACATGGGTCACCAGCTCTACCCACTGGGCTATCTGGGCGCCTAAAAATGACTTCAGTTTTGTCAGGATTTAGCTGGAGAAAATTAAGAGACACTCTCAGTAATGCTGTCTCCGTGGTGCGTTGTCAAAGATTCTATCACCTTCTAGCTTCAGGATCTGGTCTGCAACCATTTCTTCAAGGATTGTAGATAAAAAGGGAAGTCTTGAGATTTGGTGAAGTGGCTGAACACTGGCGATTTTAAAAAGGTCAGGTATAGACCCTGATGTGACAGAGGAATTGATTATAGAAAGCAGGCTAGGACCTAAGACAGGAAGGATGGATTTTAGAAATGTTGTAGGAATTGTGTCACAGTGACTGGAGTAGTTACGCATGTGATCTACAGTTTTTAAAAGGATCTGTAGAGAGATAGGAGCAGAATCAGACAGTAAAATAGGACGACTGAATGTTTGAGGGGTCAGAACAGTGAGAGGGAAATGAAACCTTAGACCATCGATCTTGCCAAAGAAAAAAGACAGTAATGTTTCACGGTCAGCAGGAGAGGAGGCATGAATAGCAGGAGGAGATGGAGTTACAAGCTGGTTGATAGTAGTAAAAAAAAACCTTGGGTTATGTTTATTGCTAACAATCAGGTCAGAGAAGTAGGCAGCTTGCGCATCTTTAAGAGTCTGATTCAAATTCAACAGTAATTCCCTCATGTAGAGGTGGTGGACTGTAAGTTTGAAGTTTTCCAATTTCGCTTGGCCTTCCTATATTCCCTTCTTTGTTGTCTAATGTTATCATTGATCCAAGAAGTTTTATTAATAACTGGGACAGCCCTGGATGTATATGGAGCGGAAAAATAAAGGGCTGACGTACACAAATTGTTAAACCAGCTAACTTGATCATTAATATTAGAGAAGTGAGTGGAATAGGCCAGA